TCCTTACTTTAGAGGAAGGTGGTACATACGAGGTCCCATATAGTCAGATCGAGTGGGGCCTCAAGGATGGGGACAGTAGCGTGGGGCAGGGGAGGTCCTATGCGGCTGTCGCGGCTGGAGGGAGGCCGCAAGGTAGAGGAGGAGGCCAGGGCCAAAGGAGCCAGGCCACGGGAGGCCGAGGACTAGGCGCACAGGGGGTTGGCGGACAAGGGAACCGCCAAGTGGGAGGTAGGGGTCAAGGTCCCCCGCCAAATCGTCAGGGTTCTTGTCGGTCCCCGCAGCGACGAGGTGGAAGGCCACCTCAAGGAGGATGGCACCCAGGCTTGCCGCAGGGCAGGCCCTGGGAAGATTTGGGCTTGGACCAGCGCGTATGGCAGGAAAGTGTGGACTTGGGTCAGTGCGTGTTTTGTGGTGACCCGGCCCAGGTAATTAAATTTTGTCCTAAGTATAGACAGGCCCGATGGGCTGCCCAACAGTCAAAAGGCAGCCGCCTGTAGGGGTCGCAACTGCCCCTACTTCAAGGCCATGTGGGGAAGCGAGCGTGCGCGTACAGGAAACTCCCAAACCACATGAGCCTATGGCAGAGGTTGCAGGCCAGTGCCTAGCTAGCTGTCCAGAGACTGCTTTTGTTAGCATCTCTCTAGGCACTTCCCTCACAGGCGTGGCAATAGAGTTGAAGGAGAGAATGCCGGCCTGGGCCAAAATGAAGAAGGAGAGCAAGGGGCAACTAATTCTAGTTGATGTAGAAGTTTTTAGGAGTAGAGTAGGGGCCCTCATAGACTCAGGGGCTACCCGTAGTTATATTAGTCGTAGAGCGTTTGAAGAAGTTGAGGCTAGGATTGAAAGTCCAAAAGTTGGCAGACCCCATAGTCAGTGTCCTAGCAGACAGCCGCACTATGCGTGTTGAGGACTATGTAGAGGGAGTCCAGGCGTATTTTTGCCTAGAGAAAGATGGAAAGGTGGAGAAAGTTCTCCATTCCCTGAGTCTCCTCGTACAAGATGATCTTCCTCTCGATATAGTCTTGGGAATGGATTGGGGAGAGGCAGTAGGGGCCACACTCCACTTGAGAGAGCACGAGTGTAGGCTCCCTAGTCCGTCAGGCGAGGTTAAGACAACCCGTTTGTTCCATGTGTCAGGAGTAGACAACTCGCTGGCACATTGTTGTCTCAGTGCTCCCGCGTTCGCGCGATTGGTGAAAAAGGAGCACTTAGAGGACCAGGTCTTTGTAGTATATGTCAGACCTGTCATTGAGCCTAAGGAAGGGGATAGTTCCACGGATCCAACCATTGCCAAGCTGCTGGAGGAGTTCAAAGATTTAACCGGGTCGCCGACAGGAGTAGTGTCGCGACCCATCCAGCACAGGATAGAGATAGAGTCTGGCAGTAGGACTCCTAAGGGAGCAATCTACAGGATGTCCCCTAGAGAGTTAGAGGAGCTGCGCAAGCAGTTGGACGAGCTCCTCGATAAGGTTTGGATTAGGCCCAGTTCGTCTCCTTTTGGAGCACCGGTTTTGTTTGTCCCCAAGAAGGAAGTAGAGTTGCGCATGTGTATAGACTATAGGGGTCTAAATGCGATTGCAGTAAAAAATGTTGAACCGCTGCCGAGGATAAACGATCTCTTAGATCGGGTGCAGGGTTGCAAGTGTTTTTCAAAGATAGATCTGAAGTCCGGTTATCATCAGATTGAGGTCCACCTTGATGACCAGTACAAGACTGCGTTCCGGACTAGATATGGGCATTATGAGTTCATATTGATGTCCTTTGGACTAACCAATGCGCCAGCTACATTTCAGCATTGTATGAATGATCTGTTTAGACCTTGGTTGGATAGATTCGTCGTAGTCTACTTAGACGATATCTTAGTTTTCCGTAGGACCCTCCAGGAACATCAGGGTCATTTGCGGCAGGTCTTGGAGAAGCTCAGAGAAGCTAACTTCAAGATCAATGCGAAGAAGTTCGAGTGGGCCAAGACACAAGTTTTGTACTTGGGCCACGTGTTAGACGGAGATGGCATTAAGCCAGAGGACCGCAAGATAGCGACAATTCGAGACTGGCCGACGCCCCTCACGTTGACTGAGTTGCGGTCGTTCTTAGGCCTAGCTAACTACTATGGAAAGTTCGTAAGGAACTTCTCTACTATCGCCGCTCCCTTGCGCAGGTTGCTTAAGAAAGAGGCAATTTGGCAGTGGGATAAAGACTGTACATCTGCGCTGAAGGAACTGAAGCGCGCTTTAATAGAGTACCATGTCCTCAAGGTAGCAGATCCGTCCTTACCATTTGTCGTCACCACGGACGCAAGTCGGTATGGTATAGGTGCCGTGTTGCAGCAAGACGACGACAATGGCTATAGACCCATAGAGTTCATGTCAGCGAGGATGCCTTCAGAGAAGGTAGCCACCTCGACGTACGAGAGAGAACTCTACGCTCTCAGGCAGACCTTAGAGCACTGGAAACATTATCTGCTTGGGAGGCACTTCAAAGTATACTCAGACCATGAAACGCTTAGATGGTTGAAGACGCAGGCCAAAATGACACCTAAGTTGACCAGGTGGGCCGCAGAGATAGACCAATATAACTTCAAGCTCAAGCCAGTGAAGGGCAAGTACAACGTAGTTGCGGATGCTCTGAGTAGGAGATCAGACTACTTTTGAGCGATAGTTCACTATCTGGACATAAGGAGCGACCTGCAAGAGAAAGTTAGGCAAGCGTGCGCGCAGGACCCTATCTATAACGACCTCCTCAAGAAGGTTAAGGAGGCCCCAGAGACTGAGCCAGATTACCGCACTACAGAGGGTTTGCTATTCGAGAAGACTAATGTATTCAACCGCCTATGCGTTCCCAATAGTGAAGAGATCCGTACTCTGATCCTAGGGGAATGCCATGACACAGAGGGACACTTCGGTTGGCAAAAGACTTTAGCCAATCTGATGCGTGCGTATACCTGGCCAGGAATGAAAGATGACTGCATAGAGTATGTTCGCACTTGCAAAGTTTGCCAGAGAAACAAGACCACTACGTGTGCCCCTCTATGTCTTCTTTGACCCTTGCCTATCCCAGACCAACCTGGAGATTCAATCTCCATTGACTTCATGGATGCCGGTGTGAAGAGTAGACACGGCAAGAGCCAAGTCATGGTTATAGTTGATAGATTCAGTAAATATGCAATTTTTGTTCATTTGCCTGTAGAGGCACGTACGAAGTTAGTCATTCAAAAGTTTTTTGATCATTGGATTAGTGATCACGGGGTTCCGCTGTCTATAGTCAGTGATAGAGACACCAGATTCACGAGTCAGAACTGGCAGGAACTAATGAGAGTCTATGGATCAAAGTTGCTGATGTCATCTGGCCGTCATCCAGAGACTAACGGTCAGACATAACAGATGAACAAGATCCTACAACAAGTTTTGCGCATGTATATTAGACCAGATCAAGTCAATTGGGATGAGATGTTGCCCAAGGTAGCCAGCGCATACAATAACAACATGCATTTGTCTACCTGTCGCACTCCCAACGAGTTACACAAGTCCTTTAGACCCCGCAAACCGTTTGAAGGACTTACCCGGGATCAGATTCACAGGCTACCACCCGGTACCAGGGAGTTCGCGATACAGCACGAGAAAGAGCTAGCAACTGCTTTTGAAAACCTCAGGAAGGCCCAGCACCGGATGATAGAACAGGTTAATAAGCACCGTCGTCCATCGCAGTTTCAGGTAGGCGACCTGGTCTGGGTCAAGTCTAAAGAGTTTGCACCTGAGGAGAACATCTCGCAGAAGTTACTGCCTGCATATAGAGGACCGTGGCCGGTTCTAGAAGTCAAGGGCGGAGAGGATGGACCGTCCTACACTATAGAGATTCCAGCACATCTCCACACCTACCCTGTGTTCCATGCTTCAAAGCTGTTGTCGTGTGTCACAAGTCAACAATTCCCTTCAAGAAGATCCATGATCCCCCCGGATATGGATGGAAGATATGGCACTGATGGCATTGTAGATGAAGATGTGTTTAGGACAGGAGGTAGAGGTCGTCCTCAGAAACAGTATAAAGTCCAGTTTGCTTATCAGGAACCGGAAGACGACCGCTGGTTTACTAGAACAGAACTTCTAGAAACAGCTCCCGACATAGTTAGAGCCTACGAGCGTGATAAGAAGGGTAAAGGTCCTGCGTTGGATTAAGATATTCTCGGAGGACCTCGAATTTAGGACGGCGGGAGTGAAACGGTTTTCACCTTTGCAGTAGCAGATGCAGATCCCAAGGCTCGATCCCTAGTCCTTACCCTACCGTGTACAGTACCTATGTAGACCCCGAGAGTTGAACCCGTGACCTGTGTACTCGTAGTCAGCTGGTAGGCCGTCATAGGTCCGTAGGTTGTAGGGGTTCGATCTGTAGGTCTGTCGAATAGAAGTCTTAGTGAGTTCCAGAAGTCTTAGCTGTAGTCCTTCTAGAAGGTCGAGCAAGTGGGCAAGTGGGCAAGTGGTGGACCAAYTGCAGTACGTTCGCAGTACGATWGCGGTYRGATAGCAGTGCRTCCCYATGTAGTCAGCGGTGCAGTCCAGTCAGTCCCAGTCCGGTCCAGCAAGTACCATGAGGGACTGTGTGCACCATGGGCCGATGGAAAGGGGCAGACCAACGAGCTTCTGAAGTATAAATCAAGAGGCAGCGCTCAGCCATTCATTCATTCCTGCGTGAGCCATGCGGAAGCGCTGCCACAGCGACTTGTGCAAGGAGGTCTGCAGTGAGCCCGGAGCCGAAGTGGGCGAGAGAGAAGGAGCGTAGCATAGCGATAGGGTAGTAGCGGCCATAGCCGCCATAGCTAGAGTTAGTGTGTAGCGTGTGTGTGTGTGTGAGTGCAGAGTAACGTGTGTGGGATATCCAGGGTGATCCGGGGTATGCAAACAGAGAGTTGTTTGGGCGCTGAGTCGCCATAGCCATCGAAAGTGAACTTGTATCTGGACTGTGTCTTCGGCGACCATATCTCTGAGTTCTGTGTGGGTGCTTGTCGCCAGTTTGCTGTGCGCCTGTTTGCATGCATGTGAGTGTGAAAGAAAGTGAGTCTGATTGCAGATTAAACCAAGGAGGCAACCTGAGGCAGGCCAGGCCAAGTCAACTGTATAAATCTGGGCTACCCCAGCTCATGAATCCATTCTTGCCTCGTGCTGCTGGATGCTGGAGTGCTGCTCCAGGATAGCGCTGGAGGAGGCAAAGATACTAATGAGAGACGGAGAGAGAGTGAGCGCCAGCCATTGAAGCCATAGCTAGAGTAGGGGCGCCAGCACCATAGCTAAGTACAGAGAGAAGTTGAGGGTGATTAAACTGCCACCACACGGCCCCAGACTTGTAGAAATTTTTGAGTTGTCAGCTCCGAAATTTTTACGGCTCGGGGCTACTGGACCACAATGGCTGGCAGTGCCAGCCAAAAAGAAAAAAGTGCGCCGCCGGTGCATCGGAAAAGCTTGGTGTGCAGTGCAGCGCCTCCAAGCCCCGGTGCACTGGTGGTTTAAGACCTGTGAGGGAGAGAGAGAAGGGAGAGGCTTACCCGACTTATCTGTTATTGCTGGTCACATTGAGACAAGTCGTTTCATCTAGAAGGCTGGTGATGATGATTAACAACCTCCATAGCTGAGCTTCGTACTCGAGGTTGGGAGCGCCTGACGATGGAGACTGCTGCAGAGAGAACTTATCAGCAGCAGCAAGGTGAGACTGCTTGCTGAGGTGGCATGGTGGTGGAGAAGGGCCCCAAAGATAGAAGTGGGACTGGAAGAGCCGGATAGTGTATTCATTGATTGTTATTGAGTTTTTCCTCCTCTTCTCTACTTCTTTATCCACCTTGGTCTACCGTGTTCACCCGAATAGAACGCCCGGTCATATAGCTGTATTTGGCACAACTTTCGGTCCAGATGCAGCGATAATAACCGGGCACTCTATTTGGGTGAAGACTACATTGTGTGTGACAGAGACTACATTGATATTCTGAGCTTCTGGTGATCAGAATCATCACAATTTGGTATCTTGGGAGTACCTCATACCCCTTCTTACCTCGTTAGCGATGTTGGAGAAGTCGGCCGTTGCAGGGGAGAAGTGCGGCAGGTGTCGAGACCAGCTGCATTGGAACACAGCATTGTTCTTGGGCTGCAGACCTGTAGTGCCCTTAGCCCGTTTGCAGCCTGTGTGACCGTCCACATGACTGAGCAGCCCTGGTTGGAGACTATTGTTGGGCTGCCATGGCCAACCATATTATTGAGTTTACATCTGGACTTCAATCTTAGTGGCTCTGTTCTGCTGATCGTCATCATGCCAGGTGGAGAAGTCAAGCACTTGGATTACTGTCTGATTTCCAGGTGATTGTCTGATAGGTTGGATGCTGTGGATGTGCAGACAGACCTTGTTGCGCATAGGATCTCACTGGCCGTGGTGAGATGAGATGAGATGAGAGACAGTTCGGCTAATCAGCATCAACATGAGCATCGAGAAAGAACTGTACATCCATAAAGCACATTCTCCACATTGCACGGAAATGTGAACCAAGTGACCAGCTAGACTCATCCATAAGAGGGACCTAAACCACGGTCAGTGACTGTGGATGGGACAAGGTTGAGGGCTATCAGTGTTACTTTGATGTTATTATTTGCCCTCGGTTTTTGCATGAAGCACTCCTGTTCCTTTTCTCTATCTTGCTTTGAGTGTTGGATAGCTCCCTTCAGTTTCTCGTACCTTGGTCCGAGAAGAGGTTAACCGACCCCCCATTTTTCACCTCAATTTATAAGAAAAACATAAGGCCATTTTAAGCAAACTTCATACCGATGTATAGAGTGCACTTCTTACTAACATATTATAAAAACAAAACAAAAAAACAGAAATTAAGAACATATAAAACAGCAAGCCAAAAGTGCATTTTCACGAAATTTTGGCAAAAAAACTGTCATAAAATTTTCACAATTTTCACCACTCTTCACAACACAAATTCTAATACTCCAAATGACATCAAATTTGACACACAGAAAGCTTGTCCAAATTAAAAAACAGGCAAAAAAAAAAAATCCAAAAAAAAAAAGCTGTGTTAAAATCCGGGCCGCCCGGCGGCCCAGCCATCGTCCGGCAGGGGTCCCAGGCGGCCCGGCCGGTCGGGTCCCCCGGTTTGCCCCCGGGCGGGCCCAGCGCATTTTTGCGCAGGGGGGGGGGGGAGGCCAGTTTTGATGTGTCTGGGCCCGTGGCAGCCTCCCCGCCCCCCCGCGGATTTTTTTTTTCGGGCGGGCTTCGAACGCGCGGGCTTTCCAGCCCATTTTTGAACTCGAACGCCGCCGGGCTTTCCAGCCCAGTTTTGCACTGCTTCGAACGCGCGGGCTTTCCAGCCCAGTTTTGCACTGCCCGTCGTCGAGGAGGTGCCGCCGCTGGCCGTCGTCCCTGCCCGTCGTCGAAGAGGTGTCGCCGCTGCACGTCGTCGCCCCTGCCCGCTGCCCGTCGTCTCCCCTGTCCGTCGTCGAAGAGGTGCCGCCGCTGCCCGTAGTCGCTGCCGCTGCCACTGCCCGCCGAAAGGTAAGGTCGCCCCATCGTGGTGGATAGGATATCCACCTCCACAGCGAAGATTCCTCCTCTTCTTCTTCTTCTTCCTCTCCTCCTCCTCCATCTCTTTTCCTCTTCTTCTTCTTCCTCTCCTCCTCCTTTTCTCCTCTTCTTCTTCGCCTCCTCCTTTCCTCCTCTTCTTCTTCTCCTCCTCCACCTCTCTGCTTCATTGCTTTTCTTTGGTAGTCGAAGTGCCGAAGTGCCACGTGTCATCTTTTGAATCTTTTCAAGTTTCTCCTCCTCCTCCTCCTCCTTTCTCCTCCTCCTCCTTTGTCCTCCTCCTTTCTCCTCCCTCCTCCTCCTTTCTCCCTCATTCTTTTTTTTTTTTTTTTTCAG